ATGTCATTTAACAAATCTCATTTTCATTAGAAACCAGACAAACGTGAAAAACAGATTGATGATTTAATTCAAACTTTTATAACATCACTTTCAGGTGGAGAATCTTAGTTCACATGGACCTCAAAACCCCAAACTCGAGATCAGTCCTTAGATTGAATTCCACTAAGATAATGACAACGCTTTGAAGCCTTCTTTGAGATCATGACACCAATGTATGGGTGTTGAAACATTATTGGGTTTCAGCCATCAACTTGTGTTGAAAGGACGTGGGGTCCCCCAAGCTTCCATTACGTGTGAAATACTAACTGTCATGAAACCAACTAAGACTTGTCCACCATTAATTTCAAACACATCAAATCTGAATAAAACTATGGTGATTAAAGCTGAGAGTACGTAGTGTTGTTTTTATTGCAGAAGCGAAACATTATCTCAAAGAAGTTATCACAATGACTTGCTTAAAATTGACAACAAATTAATTATGATGTAGAACATATGGTGGAAGCAATTGAAGATGAGTTGTAGAGACGCGCGTACAAGGGTAAATTGGGCGAACTAAAGATTTGAGCTCCGAGCTCAGAATTGGGCCCAAGACCCGTTGATTTGAAGAGAAAGGCGTCACGAGTAAAACTTATCGCTTTTCCATGGGGTATGGGCTTTTCGGACATCCAAGATTGTTTAGTAGCCCGAAATTCAGTTTTAATATGTTTACAGTTTTTGGAAACTTTGTTATTTTATATTTTAATTCTCTGTTTATTCATAGGGTTTTTTGAGTAATGCTATTTGGACACACAACATTGACACACTTAGTTGACACCCGCTGATGTGTCAATGTATCATTCTCTGAACAGAAAACGAGGAGAAAAGAAGAGCAAATGATACATTGACACATCAGCGGGTGTCACTAAGTGTGTCAATGTTGTGTGTCCAAATAGCATTACTCTTCTAGAAGTATTTAAACAGATTTTACCCGTGGCTAAGGTTATGTTTTGTTATTCCAATTTATTAATAAACCTTGAGGTTTCCTTCTATCTTCTTGGTGAATTCCAGAATTACATGTTGTACGCTAAAGTTTTAGCCATTCTATTATCACAATGCATCAAATTCATTGACCTACGCATGCATGAGTAGAGTCGTGCAATCTAAACATGTTTCTTTCCACTAATTTCGCTTAATTCACTATTTCGTAGTCGTTGAAACTAATTTTTGATGTCCAAAGAGTAGAGCATGAAAATATAAAAGCATGAGTTAAATTTTGTCACACTTTAAGACTAATGCATGCCGGATCATTTGTTTGGTTTTCTTTAGATTATTCTAAGCATGCTACATCATTTAAAACTCATCTAAAGACCAAAAACGTGACATTGAATCCACATATTTTCTCTTCGAAATTTTTTCCTCTCTCTCTCTCTCTCTCTCTCTCTCTCTCTCAAAGCGATGCTAGTCTTCGTCTCCTAATGCGTTATTATCTATAATGAAAAATTTTAGTGGTCCAATTTTGATGGCTACAACTGAAAGTGACTTTTTCGTTTCATAATAAAGTGAAATGAGTTGCACTGCCGGATATGTAATATTGTGCTCTTTAAAGAGAGTTAGTTGTTAGATGATGTTGTAGACAATTAGATTGATCATTGAGTAAAATAGTTCTGTAAAAAGTCCGTTTCATGTAGATCGATCATAACAATCAATACGTGAAATAATCAAAGATGCAATTTCATTCGCAAAATTCCAAATTCGGCAGGAGCGCATCAGATTTGTTACACAAATAGCATTACATTATGTTGACGGGTCTAGCCTAGTGAAAAATGACCTTAACTTGCTGGAAATTATATATTATAATATTTGTTAAATATTATAATATTTAATTTTAATGTGTGAATGAAAACAGTTATTATGTTCAAAATATGAAAAGTCGCACAGCATACAAACTTGATACAATTCAATTAGGGGAGTTGCATCTTTCCTTTTGCATGGGTGGCGTCAATTAGTGAACAACCACCATTATTATTCCAAAAAGTCACTTGGGTTCTACATAAACCTAAGATATATGAAATTCCAAAGTGGTGTTGAAAAGGAGTTTCCCCCACTCATACTATGTTAGAGTATCAATTTTCAAGTTTCCTTCCTAAGTGTTTTGAGAGTACAATTATATAATTGGTTCGCCAGAGTCTTAAATTGAAGTGCTTCAATTTAGGATTATCGATTGTTGAATCCTAAGAGATGGATGCCTATAGAACTACGAGCACAAGGACATGAGCAAAATCTGTCTTTAGGATATTGCAATTCTTGCAAGCCTCAATCACTAAAGTTGTCAATATTTCTATTTGTGTTTGTTGATTTACATTAATTTCATATAATTTGTTATTGTATTTGATAATAACAATTCTGTCGAGAATTATTATTACCTTGAAATTCATATTTCCTACTGTTCTGCCAAACTCCATGATACTTTGGTAGTGAGTGTGTGTGTTAGAGAAACCCTCCTTAGTTTAGATTATCGCTTCTATTCAAATAGCATTACATTACTAAAGCACATCAAAGGTTAATAGTTGTTTATTTAATGTACAACTACAAAATTTTCCCCTTTATTTCTTTGTTTGTCACTACTAGAAAACTTCATTATAAGTCACTGATACACCCATTGTCTGTAATGATGTAAGCTACAAATTATCCGTGACTAAAGGGTGTTGATTATAAATTAAAGACAGATCACATAACTGTGGTTGAAGTGGATATTGACATTAATTTTCTACCACAACAAAGACAACAAAGAGTGTTTGTGACCTATAAGCGGTGGATCCCATCATGTCTTCTCATCCTTGCAAAGGTCTTCCTCCCACCCATTAAAATATTAATATCTTTTAAAACCCGTGGCCTATAATTGGATGCGTACGTTGTAATACAATTCCAATTCCAATTCACTATTTTGTTCTATCACAGTACAGGAACCTTGCAAAAGTACCGCTAATTTCTTTTGTTATTATGTGGATCGAAGGCCATAAATTAATTCTCTTTCAAATGCTTATTCAAATTATATATAAAAAATTGCTTTGTAATTAAACAATTGTCACATTCACAACAATGACAATTGCTTATTCAAACAATTGTCCTCCATATCCAAATATAGGACAAAGACAATTATCTAGCACTAGTGTGGAGGGTTTTACTACAGTGCAAACTAGTGCTCAATGCAAATACCACACTCATTGGTTCATCATAACCCGTATTTATTTGACCCAGTAAGTGATACATTTGGCACATTAGGTGGTGTAGCACCACTTTGTACACCGTATGAATGGCTATTTGTCATTGTTCATATTGAGTCATATTTGTACAGTAAACAAACAATTGCTAATACAAGGCTCATGGAGTTCTATTTTTAAAAACTAAAAAACTGAAAACTGTTCAAAAGCTATTTGGTCACTGATTTCAATTTTATGTGGAACTTGAAAATGAAATTTTTTGGGGGTCAAATTGTGAGTTTTGGATGGTATTGTAAACTTGGAAACGGAAGTGCATGTTATAAAGAGTTCGTAGCATTTTTGTGTGAAATTTTTGTAGTTATGATGAATTTTTTGTGAATTTTGGATTTGGAGGTTCCGAAGCTCAAATTGGGTTCACGGCCGTGTCCAAGTTGGAAGGTCCCAAATACCGAGCTTTGGTAACTAAAGTGCAAAATATAGAAAGATAAAGATGATTTTGAAAACTAGATTTCACTCCTTTGAATATAGAAAACGAAAACTGTTACCAAACATGTTTTAATTTTCATTTTTCAGAAAAAGTGAAAATGAAATTTTTATCAAACGGGCACCATGACCACCACAAGCCTGCATGTGGATCCGTTGCTGCCAAGAAAAACAATTAGAATGATCCAATTCTGACAAACATGACAAACAATAATACGAATCCTCCTCAGAAGAGAGTATTGAGAAGGGTGATGAGTATACACCTTGGGTTAAAGTAGTGAGAAAAAATGCTCCCATCGTTGAAACCCAGCAATTGGTGGCTGGCAATTGACTAATTAATACTCATGCAGCTGCACTGAAATCAAGTTACTCGACATATGAAGTTCATCTTGCCTATCTACCGACATTGGTTTCTTATGCCTAAGAGAGTAATAACATCGGTTTCTTATTTTACCGATGTAGAAAGTGAATTTTGACATAGTGCACATATATATATAAAGCCACAATGGCACACTCAACAGTGCCATCACTTTTGCTTTCATATATATTGTGACACTGTAACAAACAGATGGAATACAAGAACTTCGGTGATGATTATGTTTTTGAATTTTCTAGTGGGATTATCCAATACAGTTTTTCAAGGATCCAATTAATTTATTTGGCACAAAATTGTAGACAAATAAAGTAAACTATCATGATTATCATACATATATACCTGGATATGATTAAAACTCTTTCCCCATTTTCGCTAATTTTGTACGGTGGATTCTTGATTTTATCTACAAAAATAGATGATATCGATGCAGATCATGAGACAACGTTGGGAACAATATGAAGTTCTCAGCTTATAGGTTTTCATTCCATCCACCTCGGTTTATATAAGTCATGTTTCTATAGTTGATTATAAACATCAACGATTGACATTTGTTTATACATGTGTGAGCGATTGTACTTAGCACTGTTCTATGAGTGTGTGTAAATAAAAATAACCGTACCAAATAGTCTGACATGTTATGGTAACAGATAATAAGAGGATTTACAAGACAACTTATTTAGTTGTGAGGCATGTTATCGTACTAGCCTCTACACCGAAGGATATGTAAGTGACATATCTAAAACCTATGTATATGCTGAAAATATCAAACCGATAGGATTACTTTTGACAAGAGACTAGTGTAAACAAATATATCATACCAATCAAGGTTTATTTGAACCAATATAGCTTGAACAAAAATATACCCGTTAATTGGGTTGAATCATGAATATATGTCTTGTATGAACAAAACATGTTGGAACTTACAATGTTCGAAACAAGAGGAAAACATACACTGCACTATCTCATTAGTTTTGTTCGTTTGTGTCTTTGGTCCTCACTCTCATCTATTTTCTTCATAAAAATATATAAAAATATGATAAATTTCCAGAATCTAATTTGAAAATTTAACATGAAACTCCATCACATCATAAAGTAATTTGAAAATTTAATGTGTGCAATTATTTAACTTAAAGCCTTAAAGACAAGTCGAGGTGGCCAATCTCCTCCTCAACATTATTCTCAGGTCTGTATCCACAGTTCATATGGCCAGCAAACCTACCAGCATGTCCTTGATGTTCTTTCAACCCCCCAAGATTATGTGCCTCATGAATTTGCCTTGGATGACTTGAATCGCTGAAGCTATTAGACCCTGCAGGCCTCTGGTTCGAGCCGCCATGAGCTCGGGCAGCGGAGCTTAGCTGCTCTCTGCTTTTCTTGGCTAAAGTCCGCTCGAGCTTGTGAGCATTTTGGTGGCCTCCAAGTGCTTGTGAGCTGTAAAACTTTCTCTGGCAATAGTTGCAAGAAAACACACGCGGTTGTTCTGAAGGACTGAAAGATGATGAGGAAGACGTGTATGATGGCTCTAGGACAAGATCTAAATTGACTTGGTCGTTGGGTAGGCTTAGATGAAGAGAAGTATTGGGCTGAAAATCCATGAGAGAGAGCGAGAGAGAGAGAGGTTGAGGAAAATAGCTGTAGCTAGGAGCAAGCAAGGTAACTAGGCTAGGGAAGATTGAAGAGAGGAGATTAATGTGAAGTAGAGGGAGGGTTTTTCTGGGATTATATCATGAGGCTTAAAGCATCACCATTCCTGTAACCACAAATAGTAAATGAAGTGAAATGGAGGTGGCCTTATAATAGTGTCTCTATGTGTGTGTGTGTGTGTCTCGGAGAGAGAGAGAGAGAGAGAGTTTGCCGCAAAGATCAGTGGGGAATCGAAGTGTTGTCGCCTCCATTAATGGCAGCATTACAATCTCCTGTCGGTCCATGCGAATTAATTAATTCTACTGCGTTCCTTTTATAACTAATTAGAGGATAATAAACTTACCAATTTAGAGGATAATAAATCGCGTTGTTAAACAAATACTTATATTTTTCGACTTTTAAACTCAGGGTAAGAAGTTAAACTTAATTCGTAATTCGCAAGGAACTTGTAGCTCAAGTGATTAAGAGCATTTATTCTGCTACACCTAAGGTCTTAGGTTCGATTCCCCGGCCTCTCCTTTAATATCACTTGTATCAAAACTTAATTCGTAATTCAAATTCATTGAAAATATAAAACATCTAACAATATAGCGAGAGAATGGTAAACTTAATTTATTTGTACTTTATAATGTAAAGAGCTTTATTTAATAAATATCATGTGCTATCTCCTGCAAAAGATTTGATTTATTTACCCATCTAATCATGGGACCAATCTTTTTTGACAATTCCCTATCTCCCTTATCTCTAAGAGTCTAGAGATGATGCAATATCTTATCAAATTTCTATTATAAGTACTTAATGGCAAACAAGATAAACCATCTTAACTAGTCTAAACAAGGAACAATAATTGATATATAATCACCTTGTATAATTAATTAATCAAATACCACCGTCTTGATGTTTGGAATTTCTAACATATACATGTAAAAGTCTTAGGTTAATGGTCGGACTTGTCAAAGACATGTTGTATTTCTAATTTCTTTATCTTTGGAATTTTATTATGAGCACTTTCATGGCTCTTTCCTTCTGATGATTCACTTTCAAAGTTCAAAGTTCAATTACGTACGTCAATCTAATGCCATATAATATCCACTTCCTGAATTCATAAGATAATTGTATAAGCATGCTTTCTGTCTGATGGTAGGCAAATTACAAATTTGGGATTTTGTTTGTCTTTAGAATAAACGTTTTGCGGTTTTTTGCACATGACATGGTTGTAGGAAGATTATAAAATTGCTCCAAGGAAGTGCTAACAATAGTGTATATATATAGAGAGTTTTCATTGAGGGATTTCTCAAATAAGCGTATTTGAGGGACACCTTTGTAGGGCGTACTCCGCATTGTATTTCACTAATCCAAACCATCTATTTTGTAGATATTCATTAAAAAATCATCTCTATAAAAAATTACTTGAATCCGATATCATTTGACCACCCAATTAAATTACATATATATCACATATGTTATAATTATATTAACACTATGTATATGTGACATATTTACTGATCACATTATAACAAAGATGAAATTTACTTATAAAATAAATTATACTATCAACTAGTACTTAGTTTAGTGGTGTTTCTATTTCAAAAGATGAAAAAGTTTCGAATTCGATTCCTTCTCTCTCATTAATTTTTATTTTATTTTTAAAGATGAATCCTACGCGGATCTCACCTCTCTAAAGAATATAGTCTCGGCATGCACTATACTAATAGTTTTGCCATTACCAAAGGGTGGGCCTACATTTTTTGGGCAAGCAGCAAGTTCAATCTGTTTTTAGTTTTTGTTATGCTAACTAAGTTTTAGTCTAACTAATGATGTTTTTTTTTTTCTTTTCAGAATTACTATATAATCTTTGTTAAGGGAGCCGAGCACATGGGTTAAGGGATATAATAGCACTGGCAGACAAATTAATTCCACTGTGTGCTCCCAAAGAGGTGGTAAAATATAATTCAGGTCAAGGTATAATCTTGTTAATCATAAACAAACACAATAAGAAATTGCATTACACCATGATTGTGGGATCATAATCTTGCAGGTCGGCAATGATTGCGGTGAACTTTGTCTTTGAATCCCAGACACAACAGAAACCAAGAAACTGCGTACTCTTTCTGTGTCTTGCTAATCCAAAATCGCCATAAGAGATATTTCCAAGGAACATTAATTCCTCCCTCTTGAACTACCTACCGTTATCTGTCCCTCTTCAAGTACTTTAACAATCCCAAAACACATGGGAGTGTACTGTGTATGAGACTCAATTATCAACTTATATTCTACACATATATGCATTACGAGCGGTGGATTTTCCTTTCCTTTCTTCTTCTCTTTCATTGGTTTAACAAACACATTTCGGGGTGGGACTAGACAGACTATTTCAATTAAAATGGACAAGAGTTCCAGCTGTTGTTTGGTGCGTTGGGATTTGACTTGTCAAAATGGATGCCAGTTCAATATATTGTATTTTACAAATCCCACTCATAAAAACTAGATTGAACTCAACTTTAATCCAATTTAAGTCAAGCAACTAAACGAGGCCTAGTTACAATTTCTTCAGTAATATATTTAATTTTAGACAGAAAAAACCCTAGTTGCTACAAATCAAGTTTTGTTTAGTTTCTTTTCATTTTTTTTTATCAATCAAGTTTTTTGATGAGCATGATTCAAAATCCTAGTCAAATGTTTGGCAGTCTAAAAATAACCTAGATTGGATTGTGTCTAATCCTACTAGACCCAAATGTAGTAGCATTATAAATCCCACCGAAAGGTTGGGATTAAAGGCTCGTTTGGGATTGCTTCTTTAGGAAGCACTTCTACTTATAAGCTTCTACCAAAAGCGCTTTTATTATAAAGACGTTGAAATTTTCATAAGAAATAGGAGTGCTTCTTGGAAAAGCACTTGGGAGTGCTTCCTGAAGAAGCACAGGGCAGGTGCTTCTCCAGAAAGCGCTTCTATGGCCCAAAAGTGCTTCTAAACTTTTCTGCCAAACTCTATCAAAAGCGCTTTTGGTTGTCAAAAAACGCTTTTAACTGTTCCAGAAGCACTCCCAAACGGGCCCTAATTAAGTTGGATTGCATTATATCTAATTCTGCCAGGCCATGTAAATATTTTGTTAATTCAACCCCTTAATTATGTGTACTTCCAAACACATCATTGGATTAGTATTATCCATCCAAATTCAATTCTACCTTATGAATCAATCCAATCCCAATCACCAAATATGTCATTAGTGAAAACTTAAAAAATGAAATTAAATAAATTAGAGAGTCACATGGAAAAGTGGCATGCATATAGACAAGAGCAATTGAGGTGAGGAGCCTCCATTTTTGCGTTTGGATACGGCAATATCTTATGAAGATCAAAGTGAGATGAGGATGGTAGTGGACATGTTTGTGTTTTGTCGGCTTTTTATAGATTAAGGTGGGTTCATGGACGGCCTGAGTCCGATGACTCATTTGCTTTTATTTTCTGCATACACGTGGATAATGACTCTCACTGTGCTTTGCTCATCATCGAATGTCGTACATCATCCATTTTACTATGTTCCATATCCAACTCTCTCTCTCTCTCTCTCTCTCTCTCTGGTCTGGTATACATATATTCTTGTGGGTATGGATTTCAGCTTTGTGTACAGTCATGATATGTGGTTGAAATCAAATTCGTGTAAGCTCCAAAAGGATATAAAACCTCATCTCTTTCGAAGCCTTTGACGTTGAAACCCAACTTTACTTTGTATTTTAGTGCTGCTTGGCTGCCATGAGTTAGAGAAAGTAGGATCCTGCTTCAACCCACTTTCAATTGGCTCCCCACTTTCTGCACTTTATTTTTGTTTCATCTTTGTATCTATCAATTGAAAAGGTTTAACTATTGTAAGGTGCTTGGTCTCGAACAAATCATAAGAGGGTTTCTAAAAGTCTCTTATCTCTTGTTATTAAGAAATGGCTTAAATGCAAAAATGGTCTCTGTGTTTTACTATATTGACCAATTTAGTCTTTATATTTTTAATTTGGCCAATTCAATTCATGTGTTTATAACCGTTAGCCAATGTTGCCAATTCTACTAAATTTGTTATTAAATAAACATGATAAACCTTTTTTTCTTTTGAAAACCTATAAACCTTTTTAAAAATAATAATAAAAAACTTAATGAATCTAAAAATATTAAAAATTCATTAAAAGTAAATCATAATATTATTAGAGAAAAGAAAAAACTTGAATAAAAATAGGATTGGGTTGTCCGAAAGAGGAGTGTCTACCCAAGGAGTGGAGACGTTGGAAGGAGGGGGATGAGAGGAGGGGCAAGGCCGGCCTGGAGCCTGGGCCCGACGGCGACGGCTTAGGGCCTCAAATTGTATATATAATTGTTCAAGGCCCATATTAAATAGATTGAGAGTTTAAAAATACAAGGGACCAAATAATAACCACTTTAAATCTTTAACAATACAAGGGCCCATATTTACAAATTAAAATTATAAATAAATAAAAATCTTTTTTGTTTTGGAACAACAAACATCCAATTGATCCAACAATTTCTTTATAAAAAAAATTGTTTAGTTCTTCTAGTTTGATGACTTTTGTGATCTCAACAATGGAAGTTGATGATAGAGAAGATTTTTTAATGGAGCGTGATGGAGAAGATGGGTTTAGGTTTTTTCATTTTTTTTCGTTTATTTTTTAATTTGTTTTGTTTTCTCAATATTTTAGTTTTTCTAATATAATAATATAAAAAATTCAAATAGTAAGTCACGTGTCCTACACATGACTTTTTGGACGGAAAAAATTAATGAAATTAGAAAATTTTGACGATAAGGGCTAAATTGACTGTTTTAATTAATTCGAGTGCTCAATTAATTGATTTGTTAATTTAGGGGGTTTAGTTTGATTAGGGTCATAGTTCAGGGAGTAAAACGGCTGAAAAAATCCTTTAATTAATAACTGCACTTCAAAGGATGACCAAATGCAAACCAAATACTAAGACACACCTCTTTTGGAGAAACTTATTTTTCATTTACTATAGAAACTAAATAATATTTAACAATATATAATATCCAACACCATATAGCATTGATGTGTGTTTCATCTTCACACATATGAGATAGTCTTGATATTTTCCTATTAACTTGTCACCTTGAAACCCTAATTGGGTAAGCCTGCAGCCAGCCTTGCTCTCAAATCTTTTCTCAAGATTTTGCCAGAAGGTGCTATAGGTATTTTGTCTGTGAAGAAAACCCGACCAATTCTCTTATAGAACACCACCTGCACATATAACACGTAACAATTCCACAATCACAA